TCAAGACCCTAGATTATGTAAGCAAGCACTACTTCTGTTTCTTCGTAAAACAACGCGTTTGTGATTATTGTTTTTAAGTGGGGGAAAAGGAGTAATACTAGGAAAATCCAGTCTGCCTTAAAGCATCCTGGATTATTGTTTGAAGGTTAAATCAACTTTGTCTCAGCTTCTGAATTTAAGCTGCCAAGGATGGTACTCACAAACATGACTGAGGAAGGAGAATAACGAAACTATTTATCCTCTCCTAGTGCCTAAATCCATTCCTACAATGGGGATATTGAAAGTGAGGCTTGTAGGTGTTGCCCTGCACCTCTGGACTCTTTTAACTATTGTGTGTTCAGGCTAATGCCTCAAGACAGCTTCTGACTTGGGCAAAATAGGCCAGAGGAAGTGTGAAGCAGCTGTTCTTCCTATTCCCTACCCACCTTTGCAGTGGTATGGCTCCGACACCAGCTTATCACCACTGTAAGAGGAGGCTGTGGAGGCTTCCTTTGTAGCAGAAGTAGCAGCTTTGATGAAGGAGTTTTTGCTGAAGACATTTGCTAGGAGAGAAAGAGTTGTACTTGCCCTCGGTGACCCCGAGACCTCTCAGCCTTCCGGTTAGCTGCTATTTGACATGTCAAAAAACTGTCATGTTAACTGTGTCCTCCTTCTTTGGCGATCACTTGTAGCTGAGTAAGATTGTCTTCCATAAACACTGTTCTAAAAATGAGTCCGTAAGTGACTGTGGAGGCCAATTCTGGATCCACACGTCCTTCCACAGTGGGGACATTGGTTTCCGGGCAGGAGTTGATCACGGTGTGGATTTGCCAAGCATGCCTTCCAATTCTATATCACCCGAGGCTGGCCCTTTTGTTAGACAAATGGAGGTAATTGCTTTAGGTGGTCGGGGCTCATGGGGGCAAATTAGCACCCTGCTCTATCTACCTAGCTCCCCATTGACTTGGCTATGATGCCATCCCTGCCCAGCTCTGTAGAGCTCTCTAGGCAGGTGCGGGATTGGTGCGCCATATGAATTCCAGTTGTTGTGGGTTTTTTTTGAAGCATCCACATGATGTCACTGCCATCAAAATGCCAGCGTGCAATTTAATCCAGATTTACCCTTTCTGGGGAAAAGTTATTTTTTATTAAATACAAAACCTGTTGCGAACAACCTATTTGCAATCCCCTCCCAACAATCTGTTTATAGAATCAAGTCCCTCACCTGGAAGCACCCACAGGTGCAGAGAAACTGCTGGCGGATGCAGTTTCCCAGTATATTCACATCTACATGCAATGATTTGCATGCATGTGGGATGTTTGCAAAACCCAGTGGCCCTTAATCCTCTTGAAATCTGTGGAATTTAAAGTGTTTCACTGCTTCTTTAAATTTCATTGATTTTAGAGGGGCCTAGGTGTTCTGCACTAAATATAGGCCATTATTGGGAGGAAGCAGTGGAACTGAACTGAAGTGCTGTTTTAGACCTGTGTTTCACATATGGCATTCACCTATGCCGCCTTTTGAAAGTATGGATTGTGTAAGCATTTTGTGACATTGCGTACAGGAAGGAATACGCAGGGTTGGCTGGAGGGGGATGATCCTTGAAGCTCTTTGGGTCTCAGACATGGTTGATAAAACATCCAAAACACCATCTTCATATATTTTTTTCTTTCAGTTTAACTTTTATTAAAAGAGGTTCTAAGGTACTGTACTGTATCCAGCACATTATATTTATTACCAAAATTATTAACAAATATACAAAACTTATATATGGAATATTTATTACATCCATTTATTCCTCTATAATACTGCATTTGTTCAAGTAGGTTACCTACAGTGTAAACTTCCCTCAGTTTGATCTCGCATAGTTTGGGAAAGCCCCTCTTAACCCCATATGGTTATCATATAATTTTCTTTTCTTTATTTGGCTTTCACTGGTTGTATCTGATTTTCACATTTGGCACATGGAAGAAACATCGACAGTGCAAAAAGAGGCATCTCCCCCCCTCCCCCGGTTTAATTCCGAGTCACAGTTTTTAAAAGCCGAGGAGACTCAAAATACATTAATTTGATATTAGTATTAATGCATATGACACACAGGTCAGTTGTTATTCAAGTTGAGTGCATTCAACTGCTTCCCACATCCCATCACTCAGACTCTTCTGCTGTGCAAGATTGCAAAAGCCAGGCCCCTTTTTAGGGAGCTGAAGGGCTCTTGCTGGGGACAGAAACCCCCAGTTTCATGTTTTTTGTTCTATTGTCTTGTGCCTTCTTGAATTTGCCAGCGAGCGACCGCTTTGTAAACCGAGTTAGGAAAGGAGGGCATCCTCCACTGGGGAAGGCTTTCTGCAGACAATTTCCTCAAGAACTGAAAATTACGGGTCTTTGCACCCAGATGCAAAGAACATAATAAGCTGTCATGGGTTTAAAAAAAAAAGATCTGCAAAAGAGAATAGTGTCATTCTATTTCAGGAGTGCAGCTTTCAAGTGTAGCCATTAAAATAAAGAACCACCCAGGAAATGCTCCCACCCCACCCCTTTTCTTTTCTGTTTCTCGCCGTTTACAAATGTAGCTTAATGTAACTGAGTAAAGCTGATCCAGAGAGAGCTCTTACTTATTTCCACTCCTCTTCTGCATTCTCCCTCAAGCACCATATTGCTATTTGTAGGAGGCCACCTCGCCTGTGTCCTCAATATCTGATTGAGTACAAATTCGGATGGCTGCGCCGAGTACCCGAGTAGTACTCTGCCTTCGCCTCTTTGTTACCAAAGGGCCCCGTTCCCTTCTGTGGCGCCGTACATTTCGGCCAGCTTTTTGAAGCGGGGCCCCCAGTCCGTCAGATAGTCGTAGCTCTGCTCTGAGTCCGTGGACGCAGACTGCAAGGAACTGAGCGACTCGGCCACAGAGCCGTTGCCCTCAAACATGTACGTCTGGAGAGAGTCAAAGGGAGGGGCCCAGAGGTCCATGTCGGCTTCGTAGAGCTTGGCCAACACGTAGCTATGAACGCTGCTGTCCACCGTGCAGGCTTGAGGAACGTATCTGGAGAGGCTTTCGATTTCCGGCATCATGTCCTGCCTGCTCTTCAGCACCACTTGAGCCTCCCTCGGGTTCCACAGGGCCGCGATGTCAAAGGCCTCCGTGTCTTCCTCCCCACCCCCCTCGTCGTCGTACCGCACGATGTTCTCGTGGATGTTCTCGTCTTCGTCGATGATATACGGCTGCTTCCTGTGCCTTCTCATGGACAAGATCAGCAGTACCAGCACTAGAGGGAGCAAGCCAGAACGCAAGACTTTTAGAGCACAGTCAGCATCACAGTGTCCCTCGGCCAAAGCTGAAGGCCTCCACGACAGAGGCTGCCCACCCTTTCCCACCGACCATTCTTGCCCTTGATGTAGCAGCAACATCCGTGGTGGCAAAGGACAAAGCATAACACAAAACAGCATGTAAGTGGCAGGACTGGGCAATATTTTAGGATGGATGCACAGCATTAGACTTAAAGCAAGAAGAATTGAGGGATGCAGATTTTACCCTGGGGGTATCTGCTACCTCATTCTGTGCTAAATGCTAAGGGAGTGCTTGCTGCATTTACCTTCTCGGTTCTATCTAGTTCATGGAAAGGTCAGTTGAGTTTTGCAGATCGCTTCTAGTTCCAAGCAGGCATTTTTTGGAAGGTCTCATTAACACTGTGAACATAACCCGGTTTTCATGGAAAGGGAAATGTCAATTGCAGCTTGAAAAACAGGATGCCCAAAATGCCCATGGCCACTTTCAAGGCCAAACAAGTCACTTGCCACCCCATACAACGGTGAATTGTCGTACCTATTGCCTAGGGTTACGGTAGCAAAACTGTACCTGCAAGTGGCTGGAACATGCCCTAAATCAAATACAAGTCAAATCAACTAAGAACAGTACTTTACACAAAACGTTAATGAGAAAGCCTTTTCGAAAGCTTGCCTATTTTTAGAACATTGCTTTTATTGGCACTGCATTCTAGTAAGCATGGTAGCCGCCTCCATTGTGCCTGAAGAACAGATGGTGTTACTCTTAATTTAAGAAACGATACGTATATTTACCTAGCAAGACAAAGATGCAGGCTAGAATGGCAATAAGAGCTCCTCTACTCAGGCTGACAGGGAGCACATAGGCCTCTGCATTGCAGGACATCACAAGACCCTTGTCGTCGCAGCTGCAAACGTGGATGGTTACCGTCCCAGTGCTACTCAGCATGGGGCGTCCATTATCAACTATCAGGATAGGAAGGTAAAAGATATTCTGCTCATGCTGCCGGAAGCCTGATCTCCTGGTTAAAATCCAAGCTGTGTTGTCTAGAAGGTAGGGAAAAATAAAAGATGTCAGTATTGATTTGCAATGTAAAAAAAATAAAATCAATTGGAGGTAGATGCTACTAAACTATTTTGCTTTGGATCCATACATTTAGAATACTATATTTACTTCGGCCTACTGCTGCTGTGATTACCTTGTGTGAATGTGGGCAGAGGAAAGAAAATGAAGAATGTGACAAAATGCTAGCTCTAAGATACTAGGATTTGTACACTGACATGCACCCTAAATTCAGACCCTTTTCTCTCTTTACTATCAAACTTGTGATTCCACTTTCTCAGACGTTGGAGGGTGTACATTTGACCGAAGTAGAGGGCTTGGGGTTGAGCTGGAGTTTAGCTAGATTTATTGTCAAAGTCTCCTGATGGCTAAGCAGGATGAAAAGCAAACCAAGGTGGTTTCTTAGAGGTTAGCAGCATTTATCCCTTTCCATCCCTTTTATTTATTTTTTTGACAAGCTTAATGTCAGGGCAGGCATCTGGTGCACCGACCGCTATGGAAATTTCCAGGCTTGTTGACAGATTGACAATTCAAGTGCAATGCATTTGTGCCAAACCTTGTTTGCGCACGATAAGATGCCACAGTGATTTGATGCCATAAGTATTGTTTGCAAGTAACATGATGGGATAAGACATGGATGTCAGAAATCTAAAGCGCTCTCTCTTTTTTATGTTTCAGCACTGGATAGCGGCCATTGCAGTATTCTATCACTTAAGAGAGACAGACATTCCCTACCGAATTGGCATGAAAAGTAGGTATCTCTAAATACTGTATATACTGAAATCTACTCTGTTGGAAAATGTTTACTTGTGCCAGTTCTCTACCCATACATACACTGCCAAGACTGCTAGCAAAACAACCTGCTTTGGCATGGTCAGGTAATATCAGACACAAGTGCTGATCATAGAAGTCTTGTCCAGAGAGCATAAAGTTACATCCCTTGCCAAGAGTGGCCAATAGTGGTGGTAGCAACCATACAATATGGCTGCTCAGCGCTTGCATACACTGCTGCAGTGACACAGATCCTGACCGAAGGGAACTAGCAGTTTGGTGGCAGACGCATCACAGTGGTAATGCATGACCTGGGAAGGCAAATATACAAAAGTTTTTGTGAGCTAGAATGATCATTTTATGCATTTGAAAATGGATTTTTTTTGTTTCTGCAAAGTTAACCCTGGCACTATTGGTGAGGGCCAATCAGTGTATATGCCTACTTTATAGTGATAGTTATTGAAGAGTATTTGCATTGTACAGTGCAGGGTGCAATCCTACAGGGCCTGGGAGTTCTTGAGTTCATAGAATATTTTGGACCTCTCTCAATGAGGGCAGAGTGGGAGGTCCTGATACCAGAGGTCCTCTCTGGTTAGTAGCAAAGGTTTCCACTGCCCTGCCTGTTCTGGGGCTGAAAATGGGGTGGCTTGGTGACAGCATTGAAGACCAGTCTGGGGCCAGCAAGGATCTCTAGGATCCTAAATTCCCTTGTTAAGCCTGACATGCCCCCAAACACAACCAGAAACTATATCAGCCTCAGAGATGGAGGACTTATTTCCCTCCCAGAGGGAGAGAATGTAGAAAGAGGGGGGGGGGAGGAGGCACAACCCACCAAGACTTAAGAAATAGTGGGAGTTCTACCACAAACTCTCCTGCCCCATTTTACCGTATTTTTTGCACCATAGGACACACTTTTTCCCCTCCAAAAATGAAGGGGAAATGTGTGTGCGTCCTATGGTGCGAATGCAGGCTTTCGCTGAAGCCTGGAGAGTGAGAGGGGTCGGTGCGCACTGACCCTCACGCTCTCCAGGCTTCGCACACCTCTCCGCAAGCAGCGGAAGCCCAGCAGTGGGCTCCCGCTGCTTGCGGAGACTTGCCTGCATGCTGAAGCCTGCGCGCGCTGAACTCAGCGCGTCCAGGCTTCACGGACCTCTCCGCAAGCAGCGGGAGCACTCCCGCTGCTTGCGGAGACTTGCCTGCATGCTGAAGCCTGTGCGCGCTCAGCTCAGCGCGTCCAGGCTTCGCGGACCTCTCTGCAAGCAGCGGGAGCGCTCCCACGGCTTGCAGAGAGCTGCCTGTTTGGGGTCGGGGGAAGCTCGAGCTTCCCCTGCCCCAGCCCTGTGCCTGGGGAAAAATAATTTCCCCCCTTTATTTCCCCCCCAAAAACCTGGGTGCGCCATATGGTCTGGTGCGCCCTATGGTGCGAAAAATACGGTAATTTTTTTAAAAAAATTTTAAATTTTAATTGCTCTACTGATTATGAAGTAATAAATACCAAAGTTTCTATTTTATTCTGACATCTAGCATTTCTAAAACCAAACATTTTCCAATTCACTGTTCTGAGACCCCCCCCCATTTAAAAGATGACAAGGGTTCAATTTTTAAATGAACATTTAAGTGCCACAGGTCAGGACCAATATCTGCTCTTGTGACTGATACAATGGCTGTGCTTGAAAACTGGTCTTCAAAACAAAACACAAGGAACAGCAATTCACTCATTGCTGTCACTCCAAATTACACCACTTGTTTGCTTGGTGGCAGTAGGAAGTACATCTGATGCTGAGAATTCTCCCCAAATTTCTCTCTCTCAACACAGTGCCTCAAGGATGAAGTGAGCCTGGATCACCCAATGCTGTAGTGATGGCTTCTTTCAACCTCATCAGCAACGCATGTTCAAAAAAAGGAAGACAAGGTCACAGTGTGTTCTAGCAAGGCAATGCCCTGGAAACTCTGGCAGCTGTTTCAAAATAACTGATATAGGCAGCTTAGTGCTAGAACATGCTGATGCAAGAGGACACCTCTTACTTACTGAAGTAGATTTTCATTTTGTTATCTAAAGAGAGAAGATCTGCTAATATTCAGAATTTTCCAAAACATTTAATATGCAGATTCCTCTGAATAATTAGATTATTCCTTTGTCCCACCAAATGCCCAGGTTTCTACAATGAACAGGACTGCATTCATATCTATCCTCTGAATTTAAGAGGCAGGGGGCCAGCCCAAGACATTTTGCTGCTTGAGGCAGAGAAGCAAGTGGTACCTTGGGTGTAGTATGCAAGGCTGGCCAAGTTGTTTTGGCACCTGAGGCAGAAAATACCAGAAATGCTTCTAAAACTCTCTAGCAGTTAAAACAAAAACAAAACAACCGCCCCCTAAATTATTTGATTAATAATTTTGTTGCCCTTTCTTGACTTCCAAAAACAGGTGCCTGAGGAAGCTAACTTACTCTGCTTAATGGTAGGGCCGGCCCTGCTTAGAGGAACCCCAAATAGAGGACCAGCTATGCTGGGGAGGGACTGGCTGAAAAGGAAGTGGAGGATCATCATCAGTGTACAGCATCCACAGTAACATGCTGATCAGCCTTTCAGATGATGTACGGTATGTAACAGAATCACTTTCTTGCACTGGGCAAATGCTAAACGGAATAGCGCTCTAACCATCCAAAGAAAAACATCTATGTGAAAATTACATGTCACTTTTCAGCAAGGTGAACTGTGATTTGATGTACATGGAAATAGCTGGAGGCTTCATAAATCTCTATCCCCCCTGCTTTTCCTAATGTTATGAAGATTGTTCTCACCACTAGGTAAAGCTAAAGGTAAAGCTAAAGGACCCCTGATAGTTAAGTCTGGTTGCGGACAACTCCGTGGTTGCGGCGCTCATCTCGCTTTACTCGCTGAGGGAGCTGACATTTGTCCGCAGACAGTTTTTCTGGGTCATGTGGTGAGCATGACTAAGCCGTTTCTGGTGAAACCAGAAAAAAACACAGAAACATCATTTATACCTATTTATCTACTTGCACTTTGACGTGCTTTCGAACTGCTAGGTTGGCAGGAGCTGGGACCGAGCAACGGGAGCTCACCCTGTTGCAGGGATTCGAACCACCGACCTTCCGATCAGCAAGCCTTAGGCTCTGTGGTTTAGACCACAGCGCCACCTGCGAAATAACTGGAGGCTTCCTAAATCGCTACTCTCCCTGCTTTTCCTAATGTTATGAAGATTGTTTCCACCACTAGGTGATGCTGCAGTGCTGTTTATTTCTATGCCACCCCATTCCATACCATGCTAACAGCAATTGCAATTCTCAGAGTGCCAGTCCTTTTAATAATGATCTATCAGGTGCTTCAGTTTTTGTGCAAAGTTTTGCTGCATTTTAATGGTTTTCACTAGGGTTTGGTGCTGGTTTTAGTTTGTTTTGCTAGGCTTCTGTGATTTTATTTTGGGCTATGTATGAATTAGCAGTTTAAAATGCAAGTGAGGCAGTTTCCCCCTGCTGAGTTTCAAGTTGCATCTGCACATGGTTGCATGCACTAAAGAGGGGGTGTGGATGTCCTCACCTGGTGCACATTACCTGTTGGGTTTCCCTGCACCTGCAGCCCACCCAACTCTTATTCATGAAGTTGTCATCTCTGTGTATGCCGTCACCTGCACATAACACAATGACTGTCTCAAACGTACGCACCTCAGCTTAACTGTGCAGGGCGTGTGTTGCTTACATTTTCAAATCAGATGGAACCGAGGAAAAATGCATCCAAGAGCAGTATGTCTCGGGAAACTACAAGGTAGATATTAACTGTGGCTAATGTTATGTGTTGCATGGCAGCAGTGGAAGCCGGAGTAAATGGAGATGTGTGTACATGGCCTTAAGTGTTCTATTGGGAATTTTATTTTGTGGTTTATGCAAACAGCTCAGAGAACTTGGCTGGGTGGGCGATATAAACGCGTAAGAAATAAGTAAGTCTGAAAGGGCACTATCCATGCACCAGGAGCAAAGTACAGTGGTGCCTCGCAAGACGAAATTAATTCGTTCCGCAAGTTTTTTCTTCTTGCGAGTTTTTCATCTTGCGAAGCACGGTTTCCCATAGGAATGCATTGAAAATCAATTAATGCGTTCCTATGGAAACCGCTTGCCAGGCTGGCGGTGCGGAGAAGGGCTTTTCTCCCCGCCGCAAGCCTTCAGGACAGGTATGGGAACAGAGGGGAAGGCGCGCAGCGCTTTTCCTCTGTTCCTGGGGCTTGTGGTGGGAGGAGGGTTTTTCCTCCCCACCGCCAACATTCAGAACAGCATTCTGAATGTTGGCGGTGGGAAGGAAAACCCTTCTCCCACCCCAAGTCTTCAGGACAGCCATCCGAAGGCTGGCGCGGGGAGAAGGTCTCTCCGCCCCGCCGCCAGGCTTCGGAGCATCCTTCAGAGGCTGCTGCCATAGTCACGCGTCACTTCTCCAGCTGGGAGAGGGTCGTGGGGCTATGGCTGCTTTAGCCCCGCGCGCTCTCCCGGCTGGAGAGGTGACGCTCGGCTATGGAGGCTCCTGCCATAGGCGCGCGTCACCTGGGAGAGGGTCGCGGGGGGCTGCTTTAGCTTCTTTAGCTTCGGAGCAGCCTTCCGAAGCCTGGCGGCGGTGGGAGGTCTCTCCACCCCGCTGCCAAGCTTCGGAGCAGTCTTCCGAAGGCTGGCGGCGGGAGGAGGTCTCTCCGCCCCACCGCCAGCCTTCGGAGGAGGTCCGAGGACAGTGGGGAAGACGCGCTGCGCTTCCCCGCTGTCCCGGAGTTTTCCCTATGGGCTTTCGTCTTGCGAAGGAAGCCCATAGGAAATTCGTTTTGCGAAGCGCCTGCAAAACGGAAAACCCTTTCGTCTAGTGGGTTTTCCGTCTTGCGAGGCGTTCGTCTTGTGGGGCACCACTGTATCAAATTATACTTGAAATTATTAATAATATATATTGTAAAAAAGGAGGCAAAACACCCTCAAAACAGGCCACTGATGACTGAGCATTCTGGTTGACTTGCACTGGGTGGGGTAAAATGGAATGCAGTATCTTAGAACAGGACACTCCTAAGGCATATTATATGGAGGTTCTCTTGCATTCTACTTGCCATTCCAACTGCATGCTTCTCTCTATACATGCAGTTGGAAGGACAGTGGATGCTCGGAGTTCGCATCATGACGTCTGCACACACGCGGGTCATGATTCAGAGCTTCTGTGCATGCACAAAGTGCGATTTAGTGCTTCAATGCATGCGCAAGTGCCGAAACCTGTAAGTACCGTATTTTTCGCCCTATAGGACGCACTTTTTCCCCTCCAAAAATGAAGGGGAAACATGTGTGCGTCCTATGGGGCGAATGCAGGCTTTCGCTGAAGCCTGGAGAGCGAGAGGCGTTGGTGAGCACCGACCCCTCTCGCTCTCCAGGCTTCAGGAAGCTATCCGCAAGCCTCACGCGTCCGGCAGGAGGCCCTGCCAGGCGCGCAAGGCTTGGGGCGGCAGCCTGCATCCCGAAGCATGGGGTGAGCTGCAGAGCCCGCACCCTGCTTCGGGCAAATGTTGGCAAGCCTTGCGCGCCCGGCGGGAGGTCCCTCCGGACGCGCAAGGCTTGGGGCGGCAGCCTGCATCCCGAAGCACGGGGCGAGCTGCGGAGCCCCCCCCACTTCGGGCAGATGTCCGCAAGCCTCGCACGCCCGGTGTTAGGTCCCGCTGGGCGTGCAAGGCTTGGAGTGGCAGCCTGTTCTGGGGGTTGAGGTCGGGGGAAGCTTGGGCTTCCCCCGTGCCTGCCCCACGCCTGGGGGGGAAATAATATTTTTTCTTTATTGCCCCCCCCAAAAACTAGGTGCGTCCTATGGGGCGGTGCATCCTATGGGGCAAAAATACGGTAACCTGTTCAGGTACTTCCGGGTTCGGCGTAGTGTGCAACCCGAAATCATGCAACCTGAAGTGTCTGTAACCCGAGGTACGACTGTATCTGCTCACTGGGTCTGGTGGTGGGCGAGGTTTGTGGCCTGCCATCCAGCCCCGCCATCCTCTGGCAGCCACGCTGCTGCACCCCACCCCCTTGGTCACCACAGTTTTTCTGGGCTCCCGCCAAAAACCCCTTTTCAAATTGGCCCCTCTGTGGGATGGGGCAAGAGGAGCAGACTGGGACTGAGCAGGCTTTACTCCAGTCCACTCCTAGAGGATAAAAGGGGCCCCGCGCTGACGACTGCAGCACAGTCAGCCCCAGAGTGTCACCCACCCAGCTCTTCCTCCAATATTATCTTTTTTTCCAGGCTGACCTTTTTCCTTTCCAGGTCCAGGGGCGTTGCTATGGTCTGATTGCTGTTTTTCAGAGCCGGGAAGGAATTTCCCCTGCTCTGCAGGTTTTGCCTTCCTGGTAGCAATTGTCACAAATTCGGTGGTTTTAGGCCTTGGGTGGAATCCTTTAGTTCAACAACCGAGGAAGGGGTCTCGTGGTGACTCACCCTTTTTTGTGGTGGTGATATCAGGGTTCCCCATTAGAGGGGTCCTGAGGGGAGTCTCTGACCACAAGCACACAGCAGTGGGCCACTGAGCTCCCCTCAGCAATGCGGGAGGGGGCCAGCTGTGTAAACGCAAGTTTTGCAGGGTCCCCAGTGCTGGATTTATGTATAAGCTAAAACTCTCCTGGGGTCCCCCCAAAAAATTTAAAGGAAAAAAAAGCCTGGATGTACATTTCCAAAATATAATATAAAAAACAAATAAAATAAAACCTACATATAGCAACAGTGTTTTGTGTTGTGTATGGACCTATTAGGTCCATAAATTACCGTATTTTTCGTTCTATAGGAGCACCGACAATAGGAGCACTTGTTTAGAGGGGAAACAGAAAAAAATCTCCCTTCGCCAGCGCGCTCACGAAGTGCAGGGCGCTGCGCAGAAGGGGAGAATTTCCCCCTCTGTTTCCCCTCTAAAACAGTGCCATTAGGGCGTTAGTCGCATCACACGCTACTAGCCTGAGGAGAAGCGTCGGGCCAGACCCCTCTCGCTTCCAGCTTAGTTCCTTCGCCTGCTCCTGGAGGGGAAGCCCAACAGCCCAGAGCAGGTCGGAACGGGGAAGGCGCGCAGCGGAGCCAGCTCCTGCCATAGTCGCGCGTCACCTCTCCAGCTGGGAGAGGGTCGCGGGGGGGCTGCTTTAGCTTCAGGAACGCATCCATAGCCTAGGCAGCCCTGTGGGAGGTCCCCGCAGGGATGTCTAGGCTGCGGGATAGCAGCCTGCTTCCCAGAGCGTCGGGCGCCCTGAAAGCAGAGCGCCCGGTGCTTCGGGAACACCTCCGTAGCGTGGGGAGCCTTGCAGGAGTTCCCCACAGGGCTCCCCACGCTGCGGATAGCAGCCTGCCGCCCGGCGTGACAGGCGCCCTGAAACAGAGCGCCCCTCGTGCCGGGCAGACATCCTCAGCGTGGGGAGCCCTGCAGGAGTTCCCCACAGGGCTCCCCACGCTGCGGATAGCAGCCCCCCGCAACCCTCTCCCAGCTGGAGAGGTGACGCGCGGCTATACAGGCTCCTGCCATAGTCGCGCGTCACCTCTCCAGCTGGGAGAGGGTCGTGGGGGGCTGCTTTAGCCCCGCGCACGCTCTCCTGGCTGGAGAGGTGG